ACTATCTTTTGTATTTGTTGTGTATGCTTTCATTTTTTTTTGAAAAGCTTGACTTTACGGATAATTACGCTGTAATACCTCATTAGAAGCGTTTGTCTGTGAACTTCAAATCAGAAACATAAAAGGAAGACAAAGAAAAAGCTGGTAGTGTGCAAGATTTCAGCAAGACTAATCTGATAAATGAACAAAAATGGATACACCGGGGGTAGGTTTAAAAAGAAATTGTGGGTTGTCAAATGGTGAGCTATGCTGTAAAAGAGCGAAACAAAAAAAAGAAGAGAAAATGCTTTATTTACACAGCTTTTATAATTCTTGCTTTTGTTGCTGTCAGACTAAGATGACTGCCAATGACTGTGTAACTGTTGCAGCAATGAAAGTGCTCAAATTACACCAGTGACAAAAACTACTGCAAGGCGCCATCTGTGGGACAAAGGAGTGTCACCTAAAACTATTCAGGGAGAACATACAGAAAAAATAAATTACCGTTTGGGCTTTGTTGTGGATTTTTAGGCTGTCTGCGCTTGACAAAGGCAGATTAGTGTAACAGCATTGAGATACTTTCAATGGCCACGCTACATGTAGTACACACAGTTTAGAGTCGTGCATTAGTGAAATTTCAGTTGAGACCTGTTGCCAGCCAATGCACGTTTTAGAAAGTTGTCGTCTGTTATTTCTAATTAGGTTTTTAGTCATTATAGCCTGTATATACACACACACACACACACACACACACACACACACGTGTGTGTGTGTGTGTGTGTGTGTGTGTGTGTGTGTGTGTGTGCGCTCGCACAAACAAACAAACACACAAACAAACATCAAAATCACAAAATCCACAACCGTTCAAAAATTAGCTCGTACGTTAAGCGGTGAGCAGACTGAGTGTACGCTAATGGAAGCTTGAGAGTTGAAAACACCATTCAAATTGCTTCCAAACGCAACCACCACAAGCCTCAACTCAAGTAAAATGCTGCAAGTGTCGGGTGTAAGCCAAAATATGATTTCAATTTTTGTGCCTTTTGAAAATATAGAATATACTTCAAATAACTTCACCTGGCAAGCCTAATGAAGTAGTGAGTGTAAAGATACCGTACTGTATGTTTTCTTCATTTGAGAATCTTGCCGGCCATGTTGTACAACTGCCATGATGCTCTGCTAGAGGGTCCTATCTATCACAAATAAAACAACTCCAAAATATTACCTTTACTCAAGATACATGTATACTTAAGAGTTGATTCAAGGTAAGATTTTACTCCACGGGAGTCAAACCATTCATGCCTGACCCATCAAGAAATAGCCAGAAAAATCTGATTTTTGGGAACTGAGATGTTCATTAACCCTTATAACAAAATCCACAAAAATATTTTTGCCATATCATGTTGTTTTAGATATTTGTCGTATTTCATTTATAAGCATTATGTAGATTACATCTGAAAATGAAAATTTGGAAAAAAAACATATTTTAAACCTGCAGTACTGTATCAAATTTGATACAGATGATTTAATGTAACATGAAGAATGAGTTACATAATGAAAATGCATGTATCAAATATAATACAAATGGCATTACAGGCTAATGCAGTGCGAGCAATCACCACAGCAGTGATACAGTCTGTCTCGTCTTCAGCACCTTGGCTGAACAGATACAGACCCAGTGCCTGTTGTCAACAGGAAGATAGTATATTGTTCCAAAGTTAATATACACGGCAATTTATCATGATTAGCTCAGCTGTAAAAACTGCTGAGAATTAAAGCCACTCTGGTAATTTTGACTGCAAAAAGGAATGACAGATCTGTATCGGAACCCCGCACTGTTTTTTTTTTTGTTTGTTTTTTGTTTTTTGCAGTTCTGTGTACTGCATTTTGAAGTGAAAGAGAAGGCCTTTTACAAATATATATTCTCAGAAAAATCCAGACAGCCATTAAAGAAAAAAAAACCTCATCACAGAACAGAATTTGAACTCAGCTGCCAGCGCAGCCTTCCACCACCGCTGAAAACAAGCTATTTAGAGGGTTCAAGAACAGCTTGCTCTCTTACTGTGGAACATAATCAGCACATTTTTAAACATAAAGACTGCCTATGAATGTAACCATTCATCTTGAGTTACCATGTTGTCGCTCAGGCATCACGGCTCTCCAAGGCCTGCACCCTCCACAGAAACCCACCTTGTATTGGAGAACCGAAAAGGGCTTTCCAACAAAGTACTAAGTATCTCCGAGTCTGAGGAATACAATCACATCGAGCCAACTTATTCCATTCAAGCTGACAATCTTAAAGGATAGGCTAGTACTACACGTTTGGGCTGTGACGTGTTAACTGTGTGTGTGTGTGTGTGTGTGTGTGTGTGTGTGTGTGTGTGTGTGTGTGTGTGTGTGTGTGTGTGTGTGTGTGTGTGTGTGTGTGGCACATTCAGCTTTTTGTCATTTGGAAATAAACAGCAGTTTTTTTCTAACCAAAACAACCATTGTCTTCTTATAAATAACTTGTATGTGTGACTGTCTCTTTTTCATACCAGTGTTGAGTTCTGTTATCTTTGCGCACTTATTCCTGTACGCACGTAACGGTACCCAGCTTGTTTCACTGTTCAAAAAAAGTTTGTGTTAAAAAATGCTGACTGTCATACTGGACATTAAATTCACCCTGGAGGTAATTCTTTGACCATTGTATAGCTGGCAAATTGCGTGGAAACACCCAAACTGAAATCCTGCTAAATGGATATACGTACTAAAATAACAGGTAGAAATAATTATCGACAAAATAATGAATGAATTTCAAACGACAGCTAAACGAAAGAGACTATTTATGACACGCTTAAAGCAGTTCGTGTCAAGCTAGCATTCTGTTTAGCACTGTTGTCTAATTGTGTAAACTTAAAGTTGATAACTGCCCTGCGACTAGCTGGCATTGAGTTCAAGGTGTCCCCCGCCTACTGCCCGAAGACAGCTGGGGAAAAAAAAAAATGGGGTGATGCGGAATGCATACATTTTAGTGATGTTCTGATTGGATTGACTGTACAAATACAGAAATCGTCACAATTTTCACACCATTTAATGACTCTCGCTAAAATGTGCCATTCATGGTAGCTCCTTTTCAATGCATTAGATAGGACCAAGGTGGGGCGCGACGTTTCAGTGCCTCGAGCTGGCTGACGTCAAATCCAGTAGAGGTGGGTCTCTGTGCTCTTAGCACCTCTGTGTTCCGTGTTGGCATGCCACCACCTTTGAGCCTTGATTAAAGTCCATCAGTCACCACTGCTACCACTATGAGTTTGAAGTCAAGCTAATTGTTGTTTGCAGTAACATGCGGCGAGGTTCCTGGCTGGTGAAGCACTGGTAGCCGTTGGTGTGATCTTATACGCCCCTGCGGTGAAGCAGAGTACTGTTTGCCTCACTTCAACAAAACTGAATAGAATAAAATTGAGTAAATTCAACACCATTTTTTTTTTCGGTGTACACTCACTGGAGGAAGATTTGTCAGGCACACACCACAGCAGCCCTCTGTTCTGACATTCCAATTTGCGAATCACATATGTGCACATTCTTTATTGAAGAAAATCCACTGTATGTGCTTTTCAGTGTTGAGATGTTGTAAACTGAAACCTAACCGAACTTCCTTAATTGTTTGAACTGCATTATAACAGTAACATTGATTATCGCCTTCAATCATGAGGAAAATGCACAGCTGAAGTTCAAATGGTATCTCATTCTGTACATTTTGAACTTTCCCCAATGCTTCCACTTATGGGGAAAAAAAGGTGTATTTTCAGTTTTTTTACTCTTCTAATTTCTTTATTGATATCAAGAAAAACAACATTCTTCAAGTACAGTTTTGTCTAGGTGCAGCAAAGGCCTTCAATGAGCATAGTGTGTATTCTCAAACTGTAATCACTAGGTGTTGATGAGTCTATATTAATAAATCCAATTTCACATTGTTGCACAATGTGGTTAATTACCAGTGAAACATGTTCAGAAGCTGCACTCCATAATGCACTGCCGAGCGTGTGATTTTTTTTTTTTTTTAATGCAGAAGCCGAACACTCGTCTTGAGCCTTCCTCTGTGATTGTGTGTCTCTGAGAGGCCAAGACGCTGTATCCTCGATCTATTTCCCAGGCTGAGGCTGTTCTCTGCAGCTTGAGAAGCCCCCGGTTCCCCATAGCAGCGGCCTTTTAGCCTCCTTTTTACCTTTCTCAAACAATGGATCCTGCCCCACTCCAAGCAGAAGCCCCTCAAACATTCAGTGAATAAAGTTAGTTCAACATGCAGCCCTTAAAGCCACCCTGAGACTGCTGCCGGGCAGGCACACTCACAGAATTGTCTGTTAATAGTCCAATTAGATAATTGCCATCTTTCACTCCTTTCCCTGTCTGTTTCCCATAAAGAAATGAATGGCACTCAGGGAGGGGGGCAGCTTGAAGGGGGCTTCTGGCCAGCTAAGGTGACAAGAAGGACCAGAGAATGTTCCTTGCACTGCGCCACTGGATTGAATTGAATCTTTGTAGCCTAATCAATGGTCTTATTGGATTACTGACCACTGCTGTGTTCAGAGATATTGTTGCACCGACAATTAAAATAGCTAAGAGTTGGTGCTGGGGTGGGTGGTTAGTGGGCTGGAAGGCGAGCGGTGCAGAGGGGTAGGGACCATTCCAGGGGTTTGCATGTGTGAGAAAGTGCAGGGAGCCGAAGCACTAATGACAAGTTTTGTTCCCCTTTTTGTTTTTTTTGGTTTTTTTTTTTGCATCTTGTGAATGTGTAGGTTAAGATCATGAGAGCTGAAGTCAGTTTCTGGGCTTCAGTCATCTGCTTTCAGGAGGACGCAGTGAACAGGACTTTGCTGGGTTGTTTTGCCTGGCTGGCAAAAAAACCAAAAAAAAAACAAGAAAAAAAAAAACAAGAAAAAGGAACAAAAAGAAGCAGGACAGCTAAAAGCTTTTAACAGAAATCTCGCCATCACGGGTCTTCATACATCCGAAGTAATATGGATTTAATCCGAAAGCGTTTTCCTCTCTCTTCCTCTTTCTCTGTCTGTCCTTTACCACTGGCAAATTCCCTGTGTCTCTTGCCTACAATAGCGGCAGATGTGAGCATTACAGGACAACCTTGAATGGCAGCAGAGCCAAAGAGAAATGGGATCAAAGTTCACTGACATTCGACGGCAATCAGATGCGCAATGAAAAGTTGAAGAAGAAAATGCCTTCTCGGGTTGTGGCGGCTGAAAGAATGAAACAATCGGGAACTTTTGGCGGGTCTGGAGTAGTCACATCCCTGTGACTATGTTCATGTGAGGGTTCGGGGAGGCTCGGTTGTGAGGCAAGACCAATCATTTCGCTTGATTCCCTGGGATGTCAACAAACGGACGGGAACCATCAAAACCTGGTCGATTTCCCCCCCAAACAATTTAGAGTATTCACGAGGTTACGCAAATGTGGAGGCAGCAAAATTACGGCAATCAGTTGAAACAGCGAGGACTGATTATGTGTAGCTCATTTATCAGCCTGATGTCTTCGTAACAAGGAAAGGGGCGCATTGAATTATCATCGAGTTTCCCGGAGACGTCCAAGATCATTGGGCAAGGGAGTTGGTCAGTGATAATAGGGTTTCCTTGGCTGGGTGGCGGAAGTCTTTCACCATTAGATAGCTGATGCTACCTTGCTGCAAGGTGCTGTTTCGAAACTAAACCCACAGTGGTCAGATGATCTGTTGCGCTGTGTTCTCTTGAATTTCCTTCTTTTTTTTTTTTTTTTTTTTTAAACCGGGACAAAGGAAGAAGGAAAAAGAGGCGGCCAAGCTGCAGGTCTAAGAACTGAGCATGGAGGTCAGGTACAACCAAGAGACAGAAGCAATGGTGCTGAAGAATGGACTTAAGGAGGGCAAAGATGGAAAGGACTCACAGGGCAGTTTGTCCAAAAGCTTTCTAAAGGAGCAACACGGCTCTTTTTCCTCCTCTGGGACTGTGGAAAACTGCGAGAAAAACAGGGGGAGCACCGCAGACCCGGACTACTGTCGGAGAATACTTGTGCGAGGTAAATCTTGTTCTTTTGCGTGAACGACCGGAACTCAAAAATGTAGTAACTGTTGTGAGACAACAATCATGACCTGATTTTTATTATTATTATTATTATTACTTTTTTCTTTTATTATGTACTTCTTTCTCTCTTTTTTTTTTTTTTGTTGAATTACAAATGGCTTAATATCTGTAATTACAATAAGGTAGCCGTATTAGGTCAAACGTTATTTTTTTCAAAAAGCAGTCATGGACTCACTGGAGTGAATTTTAACAGTTACTAGAAAAGCAATAATTGCAAAGACTAAAGTTACAGTTATTTGCAAATATGAAACAGTTTCTGAAAATGATGTATTCTTCATTGCCATCACTACATTTTTTGGGGGCGAATCTGTTAATTCAATCCTAATTTCTAATTTTGTATTTTAACAATTGTTTGAATCTTGGAAGAAGGAGGAAAAAAATTAAACACGTTAACATCTGTTAATATGTTTTTAAATATCTTTTGGCCAAAGAAAACTCATTGAGTATGGAAGAATTGTTGTTGAATTTCGAGTTTATATTCTTGTGTTGTACCTTAGTGAGGACATTATCATGTACTGATGCAAATTATTTTCATTCAATTATTATTATACATTAAAGGCCAGCGTGATTATATTAATATTGTATTGTATGATAGATAATCAATTTTACTCAATAAAAAAAAAAAAACAATGATGGTAGTATTTCCTGAATTTCAGTTAATTCTCCTTCTCCGCTTGAAAAATTAAATGGTGGAAAGAGTTACTTCAATTCAGCAAGAGAGGGGACAACTTTTGTGGTACATATCAAAATTAGATTTCAATTTGGATTATTTACTGGACATTATTCCAAATGTGAAAAAAAAGAGGTGGTACTAAATGAAACAGAACATTGGAATAATTTGCGCACATTGAAGTTGATTTATTAATCAACGATTTAGTCCCTCAATTTCTTTAACGCTGTGCAACCTCTGAATTTATTTGCACAGTTTCTGTGTTTTATAATCAGCGTCATCTTAGTTTGCTGCTTCGCCATTCCATACAGTGGGATTTGATGTGCTTATTGAGGATAAAAGTATTTGATTCGGAAAGTAAATGGCAAGACTTAAAATCATTATCATTTCGAATAATCATTCCTATCTGACTATTTTAGCAATAATATTTGTAATCCTGCAGCATTACTTGGAGCACTGCTTCTCTGTATGTCCCACTATGCAGCGCACCGTGTGAGTCAGCTTTGTTGTCATTGTTGTAGATGCAAAAGGCTCCATCAGAGAGATTATCCTACCCAAGGGTTTGGATTTGGACCGGCCCAAAAGAACCCGCACCTCTTTCACTGCAGAGCAACTCTACAGGTTAGAGATGGAGTTTCAGAGGTGTCAGTATGTTGTGGGAAGGGAGCGAACGGAATTGGCCCGTCAGCTCAATCTGTCCGAAACTCAGGTAGGTGACCCATTTTCACCGTTTTTCTCAAACTTCAATATCATGAATTATGCTTATCTTCTTTCTTTAGTTTGTTCTTAAAATAATAACCACAGAGTTTAAATCATGTCAATTATTGTGTGAAGACAAATTATTTTCAATCAATGTGGGGGTCTCCTGGGCTTTGGCTGGATTTTTTTTTTTTTTTTTTTTAACAATGCAATGCGAAATGTAAAAGGCAAGGCGAATTGTGACAATATTTCATGATAACTAGCGCTTTGATATGTGGGGGAGCGGGAGCTGGATGAGCAACAAGGTTGAAAACTGTCACTAGCTTGACAGTAATTTATTTTCATTTTTGTGTTCAATGCACACGTGAGCATTTAAGTCAACATGGAGCAACACTAATAAATAAATGATGAGAAAGGCGCCATAGTAATCCTTTTATTGGCACTGTGTTGATGTGTTCAGCCTCATTAACCCACTCGTTGAAATGTTTGGAAATTCAGAATTTGAACTGGGGGGGATCATTGGCATACTTTTCAAGACGATGAGAATACAAAGGAAGAGTTTTTAAACCTTGATTGTATTTCCAATAATGTCAAGTACAAAAACGTTTTCATGATCATGCAGTGTAATGTTTTATCGTTCTCATGAGCTGTCTTTGTTGAAATCATCGGGTTATCGCCTTTCGAGTGAAGGTGTGGCATTCATTTCAATTTAATTTTATCTTGTCCTGGGAAGAACTACAAGGTTGAAAGTAGATTTTAACACTTCTCGATATATTTGGCACGTCGTGTTTTATTTGATTCATATTTCAAATTGGACTTAGTCTGAAAATGGTATTTAGCGAAACAACTTTGACACAGCTTGAATTTCAACTTACATAAATGTAACTGCCCCTCACTTGTGAATCAATGGTGCCCATGAGTGCAATGGACTTTACAGATGAACCACTCTTTATAAAAGTACGCCCAAGCACTTTTTAAGAAGAATGTAACATTGACCAATGGATTTTTTTTCCCTCAAGAACAGTCTAGATGGAAAAATAAGTGTATTTCGTTCATTCTACGGCCTCATAATGTTATACAATATAGCCTTATAATTTCAAGATTAAAGACTCAAAAGAAACATTTCTAAAAAAAATAAAATAAAAATTCTTCCAAACATCTATATAGATACGCAATGTATGGAAAGCTTAGACCAGACTACATTTGACCACTTAATCCAAATAAAGATTACATAGAGCTTATAATGTGCTCGATTGCGACTACAGGCAGCAATGATGAAAGTCGCTATGGAACAGATTGCGGACGTTCTCTCTTATATATGTGAGGGGTCAGCTAGAGTTCACGCGTCATGGATGAACTGCGTTTGCACTCTTGAGTTTGACACCATATTTCAAAGCAGGTCAAGCCGTAACGCTGTCGGATTTAGACTAGAAGGAATCATGACAGTCCGTTTCGGGGCTTTGGTGACTTTCACAATAAAGCGAAAGTTGTCCATTTAGTCAAAATTGGCTAACAGTGTACGCGTTTTCATCCTTGTTGCTAATTAAATTGTGTAATGAAAACGTTGTGCTTTTCAGCGTGGCTGAAGGCGGTTGACTTTTTGCAGAGGTCTGCACGTCAACCTTTTCGCGCTGTCATGTTTCGGTACGCGCAAACTAAATTCGAGGCCCAAAACAAGATTTCTTTTCAAAGTCGAAAGCTCATCTTATCAGTTTGATGGAGGAGTAAAACCTAAACTCGTTGTCCGTGTCAATTCACAGAAACTAAATCACATTGATTAAATTTAGCTTTGTTTCATCAAAGTCACATGCTGCTACAATAATCAATCATTTTTATTTCTCAGCTTCTTCAGGACTAAAAAAAATTGCTCTGCTGGTATGAGCAGTGGGGTATTTTATAACAAGAGAGCATTGTTTATATCAAATGGTTCAAACAATTTGGTCAGTGCAATGCAACGGTAAAATCCATTTGGCTTATGGGAGTAAGCAGTTACGAAAAGTGAACAGAAGCTCCGTCAGAATAACAAATAAAGGACCTACTGAGTCATTAGAATTCTTTTTTTTTCCCCCCCGAGACCCATCTTTGATTCAATGGTACTGAATTTGAAAAAATATTGAGTTATTGCTGCAGTTAATTGAGATGAACAGATTCTTGTTCACAAATGAGCGTGAAATGACACACACCAGTGAATGGGATTTAATGCGCGAAATTGGAAGAACAAATTGAAAATAATGATTTCCTTTGGATTGTTATGGAACTTCATTTACATTCTTGCTTCGCACATTATAATGAATGTACATGATTTTCTGAGTCATTTATATAACCTATCTATCAATGATTTTTTTTTTTAACTTACGTTTACAAAAGCATACGCGTCCAGAATATTTCTTGGAATTACATTTATGAAAATAATTATGATATGACCTCATTGTGCAATAAAACTACACCAAGACAAACAAAGTGTCTAAAATTCAGGACAAGTGGAAAGAAAATAGTTTTAAACACAGTTTATCAACAAATTAAATATAAATTTACCTGCCCTTTCACGCTAAATAGATTTAGAAATGTTAGAGAATTTATTTTCCTCAAAGGTTTACAGAATACCTGAAAATGCCCAAAGGGGACTCTCCAGGATCCAAGAAAATGTAAATGGTTGCCAAATGAGTTCCGGGGTGCATACTCCTTGACACATTTGTCAACAAGATGGACTAGGCAACACTTTGACAGATTATCTCGCTATTTCTGACTAACTTGTGTCACAACTGGAAAGCCAAATATTTCATTTTAACTCGAAGATAATTGATCTGTCTTGTCTGAGATCTCGTTTGATGGACAAACCATTTCCCGGTATTTAGGAATTGACTACATTCTACAGTGTTTGTGTCGGCCTTTCTTGCATGTTTCCTGTGTTGGCATACCGAACATCCACCTGTATGTGCATGACACTACCTGATTAACGCAACCTTGAAATATAATTCCATTGAATGTAACCCGGGATTTTGCTGATCACTGGCAAAAAAATGCTTTGTGTCGCATTGAGAAATGAATTAATTAGCAATGCTCTGGGAAAACACCTTTCATGATCTACACAATACGCAAGTTAATTTGGTATTGAATCAGCATGGCTGTGGAGCAACTGCCATGATTTGCGCAGCGCTCTGCTGTGTGCTTCAAAGGAGTAAGAATGACCCAAAGGTTGGTTATTAGCTGAATCAAAATGATTAAGCTCAAATGACCCCCTAATATTCTACGCTATAGATATTTACTGTATCTTTCATAATATTGTACCTGAAATGAATGTTTCATATTACATCGCTACACAGTTCATTCAAATTCATGTCATCATCATTTCAATATCTTTCATAAATATCATTTTAACTCTGCTCGTGCATCATCAGCAAATAGGTTGCTTACAAACAAAGCCATGATGAAAATGCACCTTAGGAAGACACTGGAAGAGGGATGTTGTCGTGCCCTTAAGCAAGGCCCTGAACACCCGCTCTCAGATCAGGGGCACAGCACCAACAACGTATCTCCTTGCATGTTTCTGCATGTGTCGTCTGTTTCTCTGTATGGTGTGAAAACAAAACTCTCAATCTAATTTCCATGTGATGACAATTGATGAATTCAACAACTCTGTGATTAACCTTTTTTTAAAATTTGGGTCAGTAAGTCAAAATGTTATCGTCATTATGATTACATTTAGAATACCATACAACTGAAATACATTATTTGAATTGACTTTAAGAATTTAATTTTTTTTTGTTTTTTTCTTCTTATATTTCCTTTTGTCAATGATTATCCGTGCGAAATGTCAAGGCTCGACTGGCTTTATAGTGAAATGTGTGGAATCCATGTTTATGAAAATAAATGACCAAAAATGGTTTGTAATTGTTCGTGTGATGGGTTAGTTAGCCTCTTAAAATAATATAATGACATAGGTTATATATTTTGAACAACATTTTTTTTTTGCCTTAGACATCTCCTAGGGATGCTGAGCACCTCTGCTAAAATCTGCTACATTCTTAAACATATAATTAATTTCTTCTCCTGAAATGAAATTACCGGTAAATACAATTTAATTAGAATTTAGTTCTGTTTTTCGTGTTTTGTGAGCTGAAAAAGTGATTTAGGAGGGTATCATTATTTTAGGTGAGTGACAATATGCATTGCCTTGTTACTGGCTGGCGACCAGTTCAGGGTGTAGTCTGCCCTCTGCTCACAGACAGCTGGGGTAGGCTCTAGCACCCCTCGCGACCCTCTTCAGGATAAGCGGTTGTGACAATGGCTGAAACTGACAATATGCATCTGGCACGGGATCACTGTGTCCTTCACGATCACATTCTTTTTTGATTGACAGCAATTTCAGAAAGCCTTTTTTTTTTGTCCCACACTCAGCTGCTATAGGGGCTGCGTTTTTGCCGTAACCCTGAACCACTCTTCAGACTGTAAAAAGTGGATGTATGTTTGGGTTTCCTTTCCCTATGAAGGACTATGTACATCGTACGTACATATGACCCACGGCCCGGCCCACTGGGGGGTACGTGCAGTCTGTAGGATGAATTTTGAAAGCGAAAAAATACATGAAAAACAAACGATTTTTTGAAAATAATATGAATTTCCTAAATTATCCATTAGGGGTGCACTGTTTTAGTCGGAATAGAGGGGCACATTGTTATTGTAGCAGAAGAAGCCATCACTGAAGTGCAGATGAAAACAGATGATGCCAGTGCGCCTTCTGCTAATTACGGTGTAGTCTACCCTCTTAATCCAAAATGTCTTTGTCAAACAAGAGAAAAGTGGATGGTGAGTGCATTGTCTCCCAAGAAAATGGACCGGTTCTTAGTTATTCACAAAGGTGAGTGGAAAACTCAAGTACACCTTGATGTGTAATCAACAAGTGTCAGATGGAATATGACATGCGGCGCCACTGAGACTCATGGCTAAAAAAATATGACCGCTTGCATGGACATTAGAAGTGAGAAGATAAATGATTTGCTAGTGGTCTGAGGAAAAAGCAGTCCTTTTTTTTGTTTTTTGTTTTTATTTTTCTTTATGTACAGTATTTTGAAGCAGAAGTCTGTTTCATCCGAAGCCAAGAGGTTAATGACGCAGCAGTAAAAGCCGCCTATGTGATTGCTAATGAAATAGCATCAGCATCAAAGCTGTATTCCTACCGTGCGTGCGTTAAAATAGGCTTGCAGAAAGCTGCAGAATTCGTGGGTCCCGAGAAACGACAAGCTTTTTACCAACATCAGTCCCACGATCAATACTTTAAAACACATAGTGATGTCATTTCTTGCATTTTTTTGTTGTTGCAGTTGATGAGAGCAATGAGAGCGCTGACAAATTTGTGAAAATGTTGGTGCACTGACATGACACACATTGCTCAACTGGCCATATTCGTATAGACAATTAGACATTGAGTGTCACTCAGGAGTGCCTTGTGTTGACAAAGGAAGGGAGGAGGAAGGAAGCAAAGAAGGACGTAAGGAAAGACATGAGGGAGGAAATAAAAGGAAGAAGAGAATGAAAGAAGATGAAAAGAAAGCAGAGAGGGAAGGAATGGTCAAAACAGAACAAGAGGATTTATTTATTTTTATTTCGATAGTTTTTTTTTTAATGACTGTAGTTTATTAGTTCTGTATGGCACGTTGTTGATGTTTTGTAAAAGGATATTTCATTAATATAAAAATGTTCCGAGTGTACTTGTACTTTGCCCGAAAAGAAATGGAAAAACATGGACTTATTGTTGTTCACAGGTAATGATGCTATGACTTTACTGGTCCGGCTCGCTTGACATTTAATTAGGCAGTATGTGGCTCCTGAATGATACTGAGTTTGGGGTCTATAGTGTTACACAATCTTGCGCCTATTTGAAAAATACATATTTTTTTTCTCCATGTGTCTTTGTCTACAGGTAAAGGTTTGGTTCCAGAACCGGCGCACAAAGCAGAAAAAGGACCAGGGGAAAGACTCAGAGCTTCGCTCAGTAGTTTCGGAAACTGCAGCGACCTGCAGTGTCCTCAGACTGTTGGAGCAGGGTCGGCTGCTCACACCCACGGGCCTACCAGGCATCTTGCCCCACTGTGGTAGCGGCACTTTGGGCTCAACCCTGCGGCCCGCCTCCATTAACATGGGCAACAGTACCAGCAGCATCGGAGGTAGCAGCGGAGCCGCTGGTGGCAGCCCAACTCTACCCGCTGTCACCAACTCCGGGACGGTGCCAGGCCTGCAGAGCTCCGCGGCGGCTCACAGCTTATTTAGCTTCCCCATGCCCTCCTTACTTGGCGGTGTCACCAACCGCATGTCATCAAACCCGCTGACCATGGCCAGTTCATTGGCCGGCAATCTGCAAGAACTCTCCGCCCGCTATCTGAGCTCTTCTGCTTTTGAACCTTACTCGCGGACCAATGGCAAAGAATCCATGGACAAGAAGATTCTGGACTGATGCTGTGTTTTGATGTGGAAGTATGCTTTTTTTTCCTCTGGAATTTTTGGGTTGTTATTTGGCTTAAACTGTCTTTGTTTTAGTCACTGTCTCATCTGTCTGTGTCATCGAGTTTAGTGATTGTCTGGTAAACGACATACATATCAAGACCTCCACACACTCATCTCGTATCGACAGATTTGGTTGTGGAAATGTTGTCTGTAAAATGTTAATAGAGGGGTGATTTTGAGAGGCAATTCTTAAAGGGATCATTTGAAGATCTTTCAGATTCAGAAAACGCTCTACGGTAATCAACTTCAAATATTCTTTCAAAAAGATGGGGGCGGGGGCACAGTGCATAGGGTTGTGACATGACATGACAAAAGGAGGCCAGCATAAAAAGATATTTCTTGACTGTGTAATATTATTTAATGTATTGGATAGTTCAAACAAGACACAAGACGTGAGTAGTTGTAGAGAAAGAAGCTGTTTTGTGTAGCAATACTGTATGTCAGATGACACGTGTCACAGAGTCACCTGGTTTCGAGCTGTCTTGTATATTCATTTGTGAGAAACTTGGCTTCAACAAAAACATTCAAGAGATGTAGTGGTCATTCAGCAGAACTGCTCATTGTCTTCTCAATGGTTTATTGAAGACTGGAATATTTTTGTTCAGCGCGTCTGTGGTGGTTTTTGTCCTCAACTTGCAGTACCCAACCTTTACTTTTGATCATTTTTCTTGTCTGTGATTTTGCTACCATTGTGACTTTTGCTGTATAGTCCTTTAGAAAAGCTTAGCTTTTCACCAGCAGTGTGCTGCTTGCTGTGATGATCACCAAAATGGGAAAAGGTTCATCAGCCTCAAAGAAATCCCTTTAGCTTCTTTGTGAAATCAGCGGCCATTAAGGCAGACACACTTGGAGAAAGGGTGAAATGTTTGTGCTATAAAAATACTGCAAATGAGAGATGTATGTTTTAAAATGGTTATTTTATTGTAAATTATTCAATTTTGTAATTATTATATTAGTATATCTGGTAAATCAAGGATGAATGAATGTACTGAACGGATTGCGTGATCAGTTCAAAGCTATTTAGTGCTGTGTTGTGAGGTTTGTCAAATGTGCGGTCCAAATGTGGATATATATAGACTGTATATCATGTATACTGTTTGGCTACATGCTTTGCCTTGTTTCTTTTATTCATCTTCCCATGAATCAAGTTTATTGATACATTCCGTGACTGTTTTATATATATCTAATACATGGTGGTTTGATCAGTATGACACCCGGTTTTTTTTCAGTCTTTCAATGCGCAAAAAGACCACACTCACAACCGTTATCCCAAAGCAGGACCTCTTTAAAATGCCAGATATTTAAATAAGAGGTTTATAAATAATGTGAGGACTGCCTTGTTGAATTAATTTGATAAATTTGAATAACGGCTGTTGACATGGTTTGCTGTTTTTCCAATATCATGATAGTAATGTCAATGAAAGAGATTGTTACTCTTATTGTTTTTTCCCCTTAACGCATACTGTAATGCGATCAGTATTTTTTTTTATATACATTTGGCAACGTGTTCAATGCCGCATTGACATTGCCCAGAAAGCAGTATTTCTTGAACCACCAGTTCAGGTTCCCTACTTTTTGGGCTCTACCTTTGCTCTCATAGCAAGTCCTCATCAAGCCAGTTACTGCTGCATCCAATGAATTATTATACTCCATTCCAGCTCATGCATATGTATGATGAAAATTGATGTAATTCTTCAGAATAAGGTCGCTCAACATGGGAATCTTTCCGACAAAACTTACTGTCTGTGTGTAATCAATTGACTGAGTTGGGGAAACAACAAATTTCTTTCTGAAATACGAGATGGTCGCTGAGCCGACCAGCTACATTGAGAACACATTGTCCAGCATGTAATCCATTACCTCTACGAAATTATTCAAAAAGGTCGAGTATCAAGAAAATAATTTTGACTGGTAGTCATCACAGTGTCTCAGCTTCAGAGAAATGTGTGTGTGACTGTAAAAATAAATGTTGAATTTTGCCAGTAGTGGAACATGCTCTCCACTGTATGTTGCAAATGTTTTAATGCATTAATTTACCACTCGAACATTCAGTAAAAACATACTGATTTAAACTATCACAGCAAACTCGTCTGAGATAAAGGAACCAACAATTTCAATTATAAGAGACAGAATGAATGTACCCAGTTCGTTACAGTACACTCATCTTTAAATTTTAAAGACATTACAATATGCCAATGAAGCAGGTAAAGTGGACTTGTATAATAGGCTATAGAAACATAGCTGAGAAGTACTAGAGAGAAAAAAGATGGGACTTTAGTGAGGAGGAAACTATTAGGGCTCACACTTCTGGGTTTAGAAAAAAAAACATTTGTTTCTACAGCATCTGTCTTGGGAATCCCCCCCTGGAGAAGGACTGGGGAGTGGAGGTCGCATTTACGCTTCCTAACACCCCTCCAACAACCCTCCAAAGTCCCTCCCCCCACCCCCATCTATTCTCTTTCTTCACCCTAAGTCTAATTAGGATGAAGAAATGTGTTTTTTGTAAGTGTGTGTGTGTGTGTGTGTGTGTGTGTGTGTGTGTGTGTGTGTGTGTGTGTGTGTGTGTGTGTGTGTGTGTGTGTATTTTGGGGTGGGGGTCCTCGAGGCTGTCATAGGAGCAGACCACCAACACATTTTCTCTCGTCACATGGTCCTCAGAGTATTCAAGCTCACGTCGGCGAAAGAGAGGTCACATCCTGTCTTGTTTTTTTCTGTCACTGCTTTTTTTTTTTTTTGGGTGGTGGGGCTTTGTCGTGCCTTGGGTTTCAGTGCTAACGAACTAACACGCCTCCAGCAACAGTAATCCTAAGGTCATTGCACTGCAAAATATTTCAAGGAAGCTCCTTTTGTCTTCACGTGTTTAGGGGAAAAAACATGTTGCATGGCTTTATTGTCCTGCTTTTTTCAAAATAATGAATCTCATGAAGTAATCAAACAAGTGGAATTGCTGAAGAGATTGCTCAACTTATGGATTTGAAAACAGAAAGCCATTGTAAAGTATTGCTTTGATGGCTTGAGTTTGTACCTGAGCTTTGTGGGGTGGCCTCTAAATTTTTAGGGATGGTGATTCCATGAATAAATAAATGAATATTGAGTAGAAAAACTAATACAATTATTTCTCTTTTCATTTCAAGGTATAAAATGAAATAGCTTGAGTCAGGAATGAAAAAAAGACTCCATTGCTCAAGAATAACAGAAGTACGATTCATAAATAAATATCCATCCATTATCTGAACTGAGGGTCTCAAATAACTAAAAATAAATGCAAATATCGAAGCTAACAGTTTTTACATGAATCTAGCAGCCATTATGTTTTGCTTATTCTGTTGAATGATATATGTCCTTCAACTGTGAGCTTCTTAAGTTGGTGAAAGAGAGATGAAACTGAAACGGCGAGATTGGTCCTTTCGGATGCTATGTCCTTGGTAGTTGATGTGCCATAAGGTTTATCTAGGGCAGGGGTGTCAAACTCATTTCACATGGTGGGCCACATACGGCCTCGGTAGATGTCAAGTAGGCCGGACCATTAAAATGATACCATACTTTGCTATAAATAACCAAAACAATGTCTTTCCTTTGTTTTGGTATAAAGAAGCACAAGAACATTAGGAAAATGTTGAAATTTAATGAACATATCTTTTACAAAATATTTCATGAAGCACCTTACATTTCCTTCGACAAATGTGCAATTTACTTTTATCATTCACATATATGCATTGCAAATGATCCCACTGATTGTACAAACATTAACAAGTAATTGGTGTTGAAAAATATAGTAATGCACTTTAAGATTAAACGAGATTCATAAAGAAAGAAAGTTTTAAACCATTTACACGTGCATATAAAATCTAAATGTAATCTTACAAACTAAGGAGAGTGCTATTAAATGTGTAAATGTGAGAGTGCTATTGATAGCGTCTGCTGTCATGGGTCTGTCACAGTGACGGACTGAGGCTGCTGTTGTCTTCTTCTCTGATCAAAACAGTGTCCCCTTGCGGATACTCAATGAATTGCACCTTATTAAAAATATTAATTCTGTCTTTAATGCATTTTTTTCACTTTTAAATTATCCTGCGGGCCTAATTGAACCTCCTTGCGGGCCGGTTCCGGCCCGCGGGCCGTATGTTTGACACCATGCTTTACATAATCATCTCGCGGGCCGGATTAAACTCCTTTGCGGGCCGGATCCGGCCCGCGGGCCGTATGTTTGACACCCCTGATCTAGGGCATCCAGTCAAATTCATGATTATTGAAAACAACAGCAATATATTAAAAGTCACCAAACCATCCATCCATCCATTTTCCGATCCGCTTTAATCTCACAAGGGTCGCGGAAGGTGCTAGAGCCTATTGACAAAGCTAAAGAACTCACAAAGGATCTATGAGAAAAGCGTGTTCAAACTTAGATATTCATAAAATTATATACAGTACCTGTATATATGATTTGAAAATGCCAGTCTTTCATGTTCAGAACTTCAAATTGATTAAGAAGTGCGAAATTGGTGGTTCAGGTGATAGTAAGTCACAGCCATGTAGACCAACAAATATTTGAATGACAACCACTGGGAAGATTGTTTGGGGTGCTGTGACTCGCTGTTTTCACATACACGATAAGGAGGTGCTTGAGCAAAAATGGGCTATTAGGTTAAGTTGCTCAGTCATGACTGCACCCTCACAAAACAGCCCACTGTTATATGCCAAACAGCACGCAGACAAGTCTCAAAACTTTTGTCATTTCAAATCAAGTAAAACAATTTTTTATATAGCCCTTAATCACAAAAAGTCTCAAAAAGCTTCATATGCCCGCAGTTGACAAACATGCACAATTAACAACCCTGATCAGGAGGGCAAGGAAACATCCATCCATCCATTTTCTGAACTGCTTTATCCTCACAAGGGTCGCAGGGGTTGCTGGAACCTATCCCAGCTGTGTCGCAGTAGGCGGGGGACACCCTGAACCGGTTGCCAGCCAGTCGCTGGGCACACAAAGACGAACAACCATCCGCGCTCATACTCACACCAAGGGACAATTTTGAGTGTACAATCAGCCTGTTTTTGGAATGTGGGAGGAAACGGGAGTACCCGGAGAAAACCCACACAGGCACATGCAAACTGAAGAAGGCCGGATCCGGGATCGAACCCACGACCTCTGCACTGTGAGATCGACGCGCTAACCACTGGATCACTGGGCCGCGGCAAAGGGGTGAGGGGGGGAGGGAATCAAAACACAAAATAAAAAAAAAGAGAAACCATGAGAAGGGGCCGCAGATGGGGGAATCCCCCATCCAGGATGACCAGGCTGCAGTCGATGCCAAGTGGGCAACATTTGACACAATCTTGTGCTATATAATGTTCATTAAAATTATGTAATATTCCATTGAACAAGATGAAACAAGAAGACGAGACGCCTTCGGAGATGTGGTTCCACCTCTAAACCCAGCCCAATTGGTTAATGAAGAAATCTTCACAGCAGCTCCTCCGAGTAGATGGTCCACCCCAGATCTTGTCCAGCTCAGTTGGTGCAGATTTTGTCAGAGCAGAAGCCGTACAGCTACATCCAATTGGGTCATCATCGCCTTGCCCCCTCTCCAGACGAGGGAGGTGCGGGAAGGACAAACAGAAGAAGCGGCAATCAACAGGCCACCATTTAGTTCAGTTAAGTGCAAGCATGTACAAATGAGCCTCAAGTTGGGTTTGAAACATTTCTACTGAGGTAACAACTCTAATTTCCTTGGATAGGGCATTCCAGAGCAGTGGAACCCACAAAACACTCGAGAACAGGGGTCACCAATCTTTTTGAAATTAAGAGCTCCTCCTGGCGACTGATAAATGCAGAGGGGTTCCAGTTTGATAGTATGGACTTTTGAAATACATTTGCTCGAACTACCCTCACATGTTATAATTAATGAGTCATGATATTAATTTCTGAGAAGACACTGATCACATTAGCGATTTTTCACAATAATTATGAAATAGATAAATAATCAATGGGCCAGACTTTTTCATAAATATCTGCCAGTGTTCACATTTCGAAATGATTGCTTCTACAATATTCCTGGAGCGTCACGGTGTCTCATCACTGGTGAGCTATTTTTGGAACAGGCCCGCGGGCTACTTATGTGGCCCTTGAGGGCTCCCTGATGCCCACGGGCACCACGTTGTTGACCCTTACTCAGGAACCTGCGGACTTCTTTACACCCTGAACTGG